CCTGGGCGACAGAGCGAGACTCTGTCTCAAAAAAAAAAAAAAAAAAAAATATTCAGAGGAAAAATTACATCTGTACTGAACACATACAGACGTTTGTTCTTGTTATTATTCCCTAAACAATACAGTATAACAACTATTCCCATACTGTTGACATTGTATTAGATGTAAGTGACTTAGAGATGATACTAAGTGTACAGGAGAATGTGCATAGGTGCATATGCAAACAGTATGCCCCCCGCCCGCCCCCCACCTTTTTTTTGAGACAGTGTTTCACTCTGTCACCCAGGCCGGAGGGCAATGGTGCGATCTCAGCTCACTGCAACCTTCACCTCCCGGGTTCAAGCAGTTCTCCTGCCTCAGCCTCTCAAGAAACTGGGACTACAGGCATGTCCCACCATGCCTGGCTAACTTTCTTGTATTTTTAGTAAAGACAGGGTTTTGCCATGTTGGCCAGGCTGGTCTCAAACTCCTGACCTCAAGTGATCTGCCTTCCTTGGCCTCCCAAAGCGCTGGAGATTATAGGCATGAGCCACTGCGCCCGGCCCTAACACTATGCCACTTTATATCAAGGACTTGCACATTCGTGGATTTTGATAGCTGCAGGGACCTGGGAAAGAATCCCCCATGGACACTGGGGGATGACCGTTGGGGCACTGCCATCTCCCATTTGCAGATGTGGACTGGAGGCTAGGGAGGTTAAGGAAAACCTGGGAGCCCTAGAACTGGAAAATGGCAGAGGCTGGACATGCACCAGGGACTGTGTCCCCTCAGCTGTCGTGGTTAGGAGGAGGGGAGCCCAGCCACACTGATATTTCTTGAATCCCCAGGACTCGATGCCTGAGGTCCGGCAGAGCTCCTTTGCCCTCCTGGGAGACCTCACCAAAGCCTGCTTCATCCATGTCAAGCCTTGTATTGGTACGACACTCACCTTGTCCCTAAGCCATGACCCCAGCCCCGGCCTCAAGTGATGGAGAGCAATACCCAGGGATGACTGTGACATTGGGATGTATTCGTACTGTCTGATGGGGCCTGCTGGGCTAGGTCTGCAGCTTACCCCAGCTGGCCCTCCTGCTCAGCACTCCTGTTTCTCCCCACCAGCCGAGTTCATGCCCATTCTGGGCACCAACCTGAACCCAGAGTTCATCTCGGTCTGCAACAACGCCACCTGGGCCATTGGTGAAATCTGCATGCAGATGGGTGAGTGCCCTGCAAGTGGCAACAGGCCCCTCCCCATTAGCCTGTTCTCAACCTGGGGGCGGGAGCCTAGCTCTGACTGACAAGGGAAGTCTCTGGGGGCTCGTCATGGGTGGAGCCAAGCAGAAAGGTCATTTGTGATTGGCTTCACCAAAGAGAAGGGATAGGAGGGCTGTTCTGATTGGACCGTTTTGTGTAGTTGGCTAAAAGACTCACTCGGATTAATTGGGTGACTTTGGCCCTCACTCGAATTGATTGGGTGACTTTGGCTTCTTTTCCTTTGACTTGGGCAGCGTATTCTCACCTTAGCGACTCCAGAGAAGTCTCTGATGTTTGAAGGGTGTGGATCTGTCCCTGGTTGACCAGGGATTCTGGGTGGGGATTAGCCGGAGAAGGTCTTTTGTTCCCTCACTGGTAGTGGTTGGCTAGTCTCTGGTTAGAACTGGGGTGAGTGAGTGACGGGGGCAACCCCGAGGCCCCCCTGTGGGTGAAGGGGGCTGTGCAGGGCTCTGATTGGGTGCTCCCCCAGGGGCAGAGATGCAGCCTTATGTGCAGATGGTCCTCAACAACCTGGTGGAGATCATTAACCGACCCAACACACCCAAGACACTGCTGGAAAACACAGGTGGGCACCCGGCCCCGCCGCTGCCTGCACCCCTGCCCGTCTTCTGGAGGTGGGGTTCTGGGCTGGGAGGGGCATCAGAAAGGGCGTTGTCAAGGAACCAAGGAGGGTGTCTGGAAGTAACTGGAAGGAGGCACTGGGAGAAGCCCCAAGAAAGATGCAGCCTCAGGCTGGGTGCAGTGGCTCACACCTGTAATCTCAGCACTTTGGGAGGCAGATCACCTGAGGTCAGGAGTTCAAGACCAGCCTGGCCAACATGGTGAAACCCCATCTCTATTAAAAAATACAAAAATTAACCGGGGGTGGTGGTGCGTGCCTGCAATCCCAGCTACTCAGGAGGCTGAGGCAGGTGAATCGCTTGAACCTGGGAGATGGAGGTTGCAGTGAGCCAAGATCATGCCACTGCACTCCAGCCTGGGCAATAGAGCAAGACTGCGTCTCAAAAACAAAACAACAACCAAAAAAACCAAAAAGGAAAGAAAGAAAAGGAAAGGGAAAGGAAAGAAAGAAAGATATATGCAGAGAGACCTGGGAAGAGACTCAGGTGTGATGGGGAGGACCCCTGGCTGGGCCAAGCTTGGGGGACCAGGGTGGCTGCAATAACCATTCCCTTGGGGCTCATGGGGCGGGGCTTAGTGCCTCGTGCCAGAGGCCCCGCCACGTACCGTCCCGGGGCCGCTCGGGGTTGCAGGTCGTCTGACGAGTCCCTCTGCCATTCCAGCCATCACCATCGGCCGCTTGGGCTATGTGTGCCCCCAGGAGGTGGCACCCATGCTGCAGCAGTTCATCCGGCCTTGGTGTGTGTCCACGTGTCAAGCCTGCTGTGTGGTGGGCGGGACGGGCCCAACTCCCTCCCTCACCTGTGCACTTCCAGCCCCATCTGCCTACTGACTCCCTGCCCTGCCCCACCCCCACAGATGCATGTCCCAGGCCCACTCACTGATCCCCAGTGACCCAGCCCTCCACAGATGCATGCCCTGGCTGCCCTCTGACTTCCAGCTGCTCACCTTCCCACAGGTGCACGTCCCTCAGGAACATCAGGGACAACGAGGAGAAGGACTCAGCCTTCCGCGGCATCTGCATGATGATCGGTGTCAACCCGGGGGGCGTTGTGCAGGTTGGGGCAGCTGGGCTCTGAGGGCAGGCGCGGGCGCTGGGCTCGGGCGGCCCCTCACCTGGGATCCGTCACATTTCAGGACTTTATTTTCTTCTGCGACGCTGTAGCCTCCTGGGTGAGCCCGAAGGATGACCTTCGGGACATGTTTTATAAGGTGAGGCTCTGGGCCCTGATCTAGTTTCTGGGAGCAGGCAGGGGTGAGACCATCTGGTAACAACGGGGCCTCGGGATGGGGGAAGAGGCGCACTCCCCTTGTTCTGCTGCTGCCTACCCCTCACCACCACCCTCCCCACAGATTCTCCACGGCTTCAAAGACCAAGTTGGGGAAGATAACTGGCAGCAGTTCTCTGAGCAATTCCCGCCGCTGCTCAAGGAGAGGCTGGCGGCTTTCTACGGGGTCTAGGTGATCATGGAGACTGCCAGGTGAGGAGGCCGCAGCTGGCGAGCCAGCACTGTCTTGGGGGCCAAAGGGTCCCAGACCATGACCTTCCTCCTCCCCCTGCAGGTTTCTGTCTGCGTTGTCGTCGGAGGGATTACTGGGGAGTGCGCTGCATCCAGAAGTCGCTGTGCCCTGGTTGAGGGGGGTTAGGGAGGAGTGAGTGGGACTCAAATCCAGATGCCTTCCCCGTCCGTCCGTCCGTCCGTCCGTCCACTTGCCCTCCTGGCAGGTGGGTGGGGCCACCATGCTCATCCTACAAACGGGGAGGTGGGGGGGACTTCTGGTGGGCAAGGGCCCCTGGGCTCTAATAGGGTCATCTCTGGCAGCCCACTTGGGCCAGCTACATGGGAGGGAGGAATCTACACAGCTGACCGAATCCAGCTTCGGATGAGGTGAGGGAGGAGCAGGTCAGGAAGGGGACCCTTGTAGGGACGCGTACACTCACACGGACACACGTGGCCACACGCATGTGCGAGTGCCATAACCGGCGAGGCTGGGCCAGCCGCTCCACCATTTCCCCGACTGCATGGAGACAGTAGAATTAGTGAACCCCTGAGTTAACCCGTAAGGCCTTCCGTGTAACCTGCATCTAGAGTTTAAGAAGCTTCTGCTGTTTTGCCGGAATTGGCGGTGACTGGGGAGGGCTGGGTGGGTGGGGGGCCTCAGGCGGGATCTCGGGGCGGGGGGAGGAGGATGGTGACCTTGGGGGTCGCCCTGTCAGCACGCACATGCTTGGGACCTGCTCCACACACTCCCTGCCAGCTTTGTTGCAGCCTCAGCTGGTGTGTCTCCGTCCTTGTCCTAGCCTAACTCGCAGGGTGAGAACCACTGGAGTGGCTGGGGCTGGCCAGAGGTCACCCTTTCTCCTTCCTGTGTGCTCCAGTGGCTTTTGAAGACACTGGGCTGGGACCTTTTTCCTGAAGAGAGCTGGGTGTAGCCAGAGCTTCTGGCACCTACCCCTAGTATCTCCCTCTGTAAACAGCTTCAGGGGCAGTCCGTTTCTCTGTGCTTCTGAAAGCCCCCTTCTTACGTTTCAGGCCCGAGTTTTAACTCAAGGGCCAGGGCAGGGGCATTTGATTGATGATGACAGAGGACACAGGTTTATGCTTTGCCAGCAAGAAGGAAAACCGAGGCTTGGCGGAAGGGAAAGGTGGTGTGTCCCCTGTTCCCTACTCCATCTCCCTGGGACTTCCTGCTCATCATAGTACCCAGTGAGCCCAGAGATCCTACTAGACTGGGTCAGCAATTCTAGAGAACCTTCCGGAATAGTCTGGGGACACGGTCAAGGTGGCAGGGGCTCCCCTAGAGAGGGTGGGGGTGTAGTTATTTCCCAGTTGGTCAGAAAACTGGGCCCTGCAGACCCCCTTAGCATTTTTTCCCTTTTTTTTCCTTCCTTGCTTTTTACTTCTTTGGGGAGCCCCTTGTGTTTTGGAGTTTGACTGGAGTCTCGCATCCTGGGGCCTGCTCCATCCATTCCTCCTGGGCCCCAGACCCTCCATCCTAGCCCTGTGTCTTTCCAGAGGCAAGGTCAGGCCCCGCCTCTATTCCAAGGGGCACTCAGTACACATTCCATAAATTAGCTGGGTGTCCCTGCCCGCCCACCCCATGAAACTCGAGCAGGTCTCTGGAAGCCATTTGTTTAAAAAAAAAAAAAAAAAAAAAAAAAAAAGTTTTAAAAATACCTTTAATTTTCTGGTAATTCCAGTTCTTTGGAGCATCCTCTGCTGGGTCTTGGGGTGTGTGGATGGATTGGCTGTCTGATGGGATTGGTAACCCCTCACTACTCAAGATGCGGGGATACAAACACCTTCAGGGAAGGGGAGCCTGGTTCTTCTCGTTTTCCTTTTTTTTTTTTTTTAAAAAAAAAAACTATTTAATTTTTTAATTTATTTTTGGTTATTTTTTGCACAATGAAGTTTCAGCTTCTCAACCTTCTCCCCTAACCAGGGCTGTGGACCCAGACTGGCCTTGAGCCACAGTCCCTCTTTCCCTCATCACCCTCTTCCCCCTGCGGGCTCCCGGGTCTGTCCATTTGTTACTGTGCTGTGCTGGGGATTGGCGCCGAGGTGGCGTGAGATTCCACTTGTGTAGAACTTTGTTGAGTAAAGATCAGTTTCTTGTGAACTCCTTAGTCTGTGGCTTCGTGTGTCCTTGGCTTTGGTAGTAAAGAAATGTGGGGGGCACCCGGGATACTTGAGAGTGGGAAGATAGATGAATGTAAAAGATGGAAGATTAAATTCGTAACATATATGAAATGTGCACCTCATTCTCTGGGACTTCAACTCACTAAGGGTGAGCCATTAGTATCACAGCCCAGGTTCAAGACGCCCCTCTGCTGTACTCTAAACGGAGTGGTAAGGGCTGAGGCCTTGCCGCACTCTTATCATCAGCTAACCCTGGATCAAGGTTTTCGTGGAAGGCTCAGCCCAGCCCCAGGCCTGAGGGAAATTTATTAATATTAGTTACAATTACTCAGGAAAATGAGAAGTAGTTCCAGCTGTGGGGGGGAAAAACCACAATCTTCAGAATAAAATATTTTTTTTGAGACCAGGTCTTGCTCTGTCACCCAGGCTGGAGTGCAGTGGCTCAAGCAATCCTCCCACCTCAGCCACCCAAGTAGCTGGGACCACAGGCGCATGCCACCATGCTGGCTAATCTTTGTATTTTTTGTAGAGGTGGTTTTCGCTATGTTGCCAAGGCTGGTCTTGAACTCCTGGGCTCAAGCTACCCACCTGCTTTAGCCTCCCAAAGTGCTGGGATTACAGATGTGGGCCACCACCCCCAGCCAGAATAAAATCTTACTGCAACCTTGGTGTGGCCCAAAGATCAACGTGAGAAAATTAAAAAATACTGACACACATCCAATATTCAACAAATAAGGCCTGCATTCTAGTGAGAGGACAGACTATAAAAAGTGGAACTGGCCGGACGTGGTGGCGCACACCTGTAATCCCAGCACTTTGGGAGGCCGAGGCGGGCAGATCACGAGGTCGGGAGATCGAGACGATCCTGGCTAACAGTGAAACTCCGTCTCTACTAAAAAATACAAAAAAATTAGCCAGGCGTGGTGGTGGGTGCCTGTAGTCCCAGCTATTCCGGAGGCTGAGGCAGGAGAATGGCATGAACCTGGGAGGCGGAGCTTGCAGTGAGCGGAGATCTCACCACTGCACTTCAGCCTGAGTGACAGAGGGAGACTCCGTCTCAAAAAAAAAAATAAAAAGAAGTGGAACTGTGCTAAATCCTATAAAGAAAAACAGAAAGGCAGAGAATGATGGGGGCAACGGTTAAAATCTTATGTAGGGTGACCTGGAAAGGCCACACTGAGATGATGTTTGAACAGAGCCACGTAGAGAAGAGTGTCAAGTAGAGGAAACAGCAAGGACTGCTCAGATGACCTATGTGGATTGGTTAGCTGCCTGACCTTGAGCAGCTGAGATTACAGGTGCCTGCCACCACGCCCGGCCAATTCTTTGTAATTTTAGTAGAGATGGGGTTTCACCATGTTGGCCAGGATGGTCTTGACCTCCTGACCTCAGGTGATTCACCCACCTTGGCCTCTCGAAATGGTGGGATTACAGTCATGAGCCACCGCGCCCAGCCAACATGCTGTTTTAAAAAGTGTGATCAGCTGTTTTAACAAGTGTGATGTTAGGCTGGGCACGGTGGCTCACGCCTGTAATCCCAGCACTTCGGGAGGCCAAGGCGGGCGGATCACGAGGTCAGGAGTTGGAGACCAGCCTGGCCAACATGGTGAAACCCCGTCTCTACTAAAAAACACAAAAATTAGCTGGGTGTGGTGGCGGGCACCTGTAATCCCAGGTACTTGGGAGGTTGAGGCAGGAGAATCCCTTGAACTCGGGAGGCGGGGTTGCAGCCAGCTGAGATCGTTCCACTGCACACCAGCCACAGCGACAGTGTGAGACTTTGTCTCAAAAAAAAAAAAAAAAAAAAAAAGTGATGTTACTGTTGAAAGTAACTTTCTGCTGGGCGCAGTGGCTCACGCCTGTAATCTCAGCACTTTGCGAGACCAAGGTGGGCGGATCACGAGGTCAGGAGATTGAGACCATCCTGGCTAATACTGTCCCTGCTAAAAATACAAAAATTAGTTCGGCCGGGTGCGGTGGCTCACGTCTGTAATCCCAGCTCTCAGGGAGGCAGAAGTGGGAGGACAGCTTGAACCCAGGAGTTCGAGACCTGCCTGGGCAATATAGCGAGACCGCGTTCTCCACAAAAAGGAAGAAGAAAAAAAAAAGCGTAAAGATTAGTTCCACGTTGTGGCACACGCCTGTAGTCCCAGCTACTCGGCAGGCTGAGGGGCAGGAGAATCGCTTGAACCCGGGAGGCTGAGGTTGCGGTGAGCCAAGATCGCGCCACTGCACTCCAGCCTGGGCGACAGAGTGAGACTCCGTCTCAAAAAAAAGAAAAAGGTAACTTTCCACTAGGCGCGGTCCTTCACGCCTGTAATCCTGGTACGACCTCTGGGCGAGTAGGGGGCGGATGACTTGAGCTCTGGAGTTCTAGACTAGCCTGGACAACGTAGTGAAACCCTGTCTTTACAAAAGTATACAAAGATTAGCCGGGTGTGGTGGTGCGCTCCTGTAGACCCAGCTACTTGGGGGGCCGAGGCAGAGGATCACTTGCGCCCAGGAGGCGGAGGTTGCAATGAGCCAAGCACTCCACTTGGAGGACTGCACTGCTGTCCTCCAAGGTTGGGTTGGGGAATGGGGTCTGGAGAGGTAGTTCTGAAGAAAAAAAAAAAAGTTACTTCACTGAGGCCTCTGCAGTGTAACTGCATATTTCTGGCTGTGGGAAAAGAGGCAAGAGTTCCAATCGCTACTCCTTAAACTTGGAAAGGGGCCTTTGGGTTTCTGAGCTCAGTGTCACATATAACAGATACCTTCGATAAAGTAGTGTTTATTTTTTACAGAGCAGTATTTATGTCTCATTTAAAGAGACAGGGTCTCACTATGTTGCGCAGGCTGGAGTACAGTGGCGCAATCATGGCTCACTGCAGTCTCCTGGGACTCAAGGGATCCTAGCCCCTCACCTTCCTGAGTAGCTGGAACTACAGGCGCGCGCCACCCCGCCTGGCTTAAGTTTCGTTTTTAGCTAGTGTTGGCTGGCTCTCTGTATCGGCACGACAAGACATGCTAGTTTAAAAAGCGCAGAAACGGCCGGGCGCGGTGGCTCAAGCCTGTAATCCCAGCACTTTGGGAGGCCGAGACGGGCGGATCACAAGGTCAGGAGATCAAGACCATCCTGGCTAACACGGTGAAACCCCGTCTCTACTAAAAATACAAAAAAATTAGCCGGGCGTGGTAGCGGGCGCCTGTAGTCCCAGCTACTCGGGAGGCTGAGGCAGGAGAACGGCGTGAACCCAGGAGGCGGAGCTTGTAGTGAGCCTAAATCGCGCCACTGCACTCCAGCCTGGGTGACAGAGCAAAGACTCCGTCTCAAAAAAAAAAAAAAAAAAAAAGCGCAGAAACAGGAACCTGTATTTTCCAGCCTAAGGCCAACGTAGTTGCAGAAGATCCTGTAAGCAGCCGGTGTTCTGTACTAAGCCAGTGTCTCACTTCGCTCGCTCGCTTCCGGTGGACGCAGAAACGTCATCAGACAGCGCCGGAAGTGCCCTCGCGCTGCCTAGGAGACAAGACGCGAGACCGGCAGCGCCCACCCGGTCGCCATGGAGCTTCCCCTAGGGCAGTGCCATGATTCCCGCTCCTGGGACGATGACTCGGACCCAGAGTCAGAGACAGACCCAGACGCGCAGGCCGAGGCCTACGTGGCCCGCGTTCTCAGTCCGCCAAAATCCGGGCTGGCGTTCCCGCGTCCCTCGCAGCTATCCACGCCCGCCGCGTCCCCGAGCGCTTCGGAGCCTCGGGTCGCGTCCAAGGTTTCAGCCGTAAGTGAGCCAGGCCTTCTGAGCCTTCCCCCGGAGCTGCTGCTCGAGATCTGCTCCTACCTGGACGCCCGCCTCGTGTTCCACGTCCTGTCGCGCGTGTGCCACGCGCTGCGCGATCTCGTGTATGACCGTGTCACCTGGAGGCTACGCGCGCTACGCCGCGTACGCGCGCCCTACCCAGTGGTGGAAGGTGCGCGCACCCAGGGACTGGGGGCTCCCGCCCAGGTCAGGCTTGGGGCGGGGAAGAGGTGCATGGGGTGTTCTGGACACAGCCTCTGGAGCAGGCTTCATGGCTGTCCTGGCTCAGGCTGGAGGCTGAGGTAGTTACTGGTGGTGCCGAAGCCCCTGAGGACCTCTGGGTGGACCACGAGGCAGTCAGGCACTTGGCTTCCTGAGACTGTGGTCCCTGGACGACTCAGGATCCAAATATCCTCAGGCTTGGGGTCTTGTGGTACTAAGCCCCTGACTCCTGACTGGGGATTAACACAGGGACTTGAAGCCTTAGGCTCTGGAGTTTATGCTAGGGCTCAAAGTGAGCCTAAGGATCCTCAGGTTCTGAGTCCAGCTTAGAAGCTGAGACAGCACCTGTTGATGTCAAAACTTCTGAGCCCTAGAGCCTTGACCCAGTTAGGGGTGAGACAGTGGCTCTTGGCCCTGAGTTGATTGGTTCCTGAGGGAGAACAGCTTGTGACCTTTGAATCGATATTGTTGATCCTGATACAGCTGGATCCTCAGGCCCTTAAGCCAAGATGTATTACAGCTTGGGTGTTTGATACCCTTAACCTGGAAGCTTTGATTCTGCTTCCAGGTCAAGGTAATCAAACACTCAACCTTAGAGAGGAATCAGGATCACTCCGGGATCAGTGATTCTCAAGGTGTTGCCATTCAACCCCCTAGGTCAGACTCTCCCAAACAGCTTAATAAACATAGATGCTTGGACCCTGCCATACCACGAAATCTGCATCTGGGGCTTGCATTCTGCATATTGACAAGGCTCCCTAGTTTCCAGATACTCTTTGAGGAACAGCCCCCTTGGTCCGGTTCAGATGGCTGAGGCAGGAAGGGTTAGTCATGAGGCCCCAGCTTCTATGCTGAGCCTGAGGTCAGACCTCAACATCCTGAGACCGCTGTCCCCTGAGTTTGGGTTGGGGGATGGGGCCTGGAGAGGTAGTTCTGAGACCCCAGTTCCCAATTTCTGGAAATTGGAGTGAGTAGTAGTCCT